TGAGATTACTAAATCAAAACCTGAGTGTTTGTGATATAAATGATGTGTGCTTGTTATAAATTAATATGAATTTCATATTTCAGAGGGGAATGTAATATTAATTTTTTAATATCCAAACTTTAATTCGGTCTTTAGTAGTTTTTGAAAAATATATGCTGGCAGAATATACCCTCTTAATTGGATGTGAATGTGAGGTTTTGCATTTCAGTGGTCAGATGTGAATTATTTGTGTTTGAGCTAAGGGTAATCAGTAGAGGTTTAAAGTCATGTTTTCTTTTAAAATACTCATGTAATGGTATACCATATTGTGAATTCTTATAATGAGTCTGAGAGTTTAAATTGTAGTCATAAATCATGGATTTTGACAGTTGTATGTAATATAAGAACTTCAGAAACCTTTTTCATAGTCTGTATGTCAATCATGATAATGACTTGGTGGTTTGAATGGGAACACATGTTTCTATTCAAACTGGGAGTGATTATGGGAGTAGTTTAGAAGCCCGCGAATTTGAAACAAAGCTTAATGGGAGGACCTAATTTCTCATGCATTTTAAGTATGCAGCTTTTCAAAGAACGAGGTCAGAAGCTTCTCAGATACACTACACTTCACTTCATTCACACACACACAGAGACATTCTTTTCACACACTCTTACTCAAAGCACGTGCTTGGACAAAGAACAAAAGAATAGCACATGGTCATTTCTTAAACTAGGCCAAGAAAAAACTTCTATCTAAGCTATGCAAAGGAACTACATTTTCCTAATATCCAAGGCAATTTATTCTTTATTTTTTTATTTCATTTTAAGCTACATATATCTGAATTTACTGTTTTTTATTGACTTTGTATTTTTGGTGTGTGATCAAATAAAGTCACACTGCTCATACTGACCTGGCTTTCATAAGGATTTCTTCCCACAACCATCTACAAGAACCTAGAGGAAAACAATGTTCCCGACAATAGGAGGATTAAAAATTCACCTCTCCAGTGGCCCAGTAAATGCGGGGGTTATGGGTCTGCAGTCATGGCAACCCCAAGATGACAGGGTAAAGCAGGGAAGAGACACAACAGTTCCTTGCGATTAGAAAAGGAAGTAGATACTGGCAAAGGATTGTTTCATGAGTAACAGTCCCAGATTTCATACTGGACCCATCCACCAGGTATACAGAACTTCCTTGAGCCTTGGGTTGTAAAGGAATCTGGTGTTGTGCAGCAAAAGATAGGTCAATAAAACAACTGCAGGCTCCAGAGCCAATTATGGCAAGCACCGGAATAGCCCTTCCCGAGACCTGAAATGAAATGGGAAGAGCTTCTTTTTTGGAGGCCAACACTTCTGGAGGCTTATTGATAGAGGAAATGGACAGGCACTTACGGAGCTTTGCCGGGCAGTTGTGTACATAGTGACCTTCTTCACCACAGTAGAGACACAGATTATGCCGATGACGTCGTTGCCAATCTTCTGGTGTTAGTGAGGTGCGTAGAAGACCCAAATGTATGGGTTCTGACTCATCAACTGCAGGTGAAACTGGACTAGAGGAGGCAGGAGCAACTGGAGATGACACCTTAGGCAACATCCATACACGGCGAGCTAGACCAGTAGATTTCTCTAGCCACCGGTAGTCGGTGGTCAATATGAATGAATAAGTCAGTCAGTTCTTCCAGAGAATTGGTACCCCAGGCCAAGGCAAAATTGGTAGGGCAAGGCAGAGTCATTCCAGGTAGTATCGGAACTCCAGCGCCTGAATTCAGTCACATATTTCTCAACCGCTCTGTAGCTTTGCTAGAGGGAATGGAGGGCTACCTTAGCAGAAGCAGAGTGCTGAGGGTCATCATATAGGAGTGCCATAGTGTCAAAGAAAGAGTTGAGGGTGGAGAGCATGGCATCTTCTTTTTCCAGAAGGTGCTGGGCCCATGTATATGGTTCTCCTTGTGGCAGCTAGATGACGAAGCCAACTTTTGTTGCTTTGAGCGAGAAGGTGTGAGACTACAACGCATGTAGTTGCCATGCATTGCAAAACCCGCAAAACTTCGGTCAACGGAAAAAGGTGTGGGTACTCTTGGCTCTGGAGGAAGCATCATCACTGTAGGAGGAGCAGCTGCCTAGGCTGTTGCTGGAGCCGACTGGACAGAAGGAGTAGCTGTTGTAGAGGTCACAGTCGTAGACAGGCCCTAATTATGACTCTCGACATGTGTATACCCCTCTTGCAGGCTTTTAATGGCTTGAGTCAGTGCCGCGATGTGTTGATAAATCTTGTCCAATAGAGAAATCTATCTCTCAGGTTTCAATATGGCCGTTTGGTACTGTAACGTACCTGGTGGTGGAGCCTGACATGAGGCAGTAGGCTTCTCTTACACCTCCAGCTTAGGAGCCCTGGTAAAGTGACAGGAGCGCCTGAGCATAGTGGGCACGAGTGCCTGACTGGTCTTCCATTGCAGGATGCTGTTGCTGAAGAGCAGGCTGTGCGTTGCTCAAGACAGGGACAGGAGGCAGGCACAGGTCAGCAGGTTCAGAGCAATTGAGCTGCGTCAAGCAGTCCAGGTTGGCAACTAAAAGGCAGATCAAGGTACAACATGGCAGGCAGAAGAATAGTCAAAGTCAGCAGGCAGATGGGCAGATAAGCAGAAAGAGCAGACAGAGACTAAATCCAAAGACAAGCAAGGGGTCGGTGCAGGCAGTGTTTAGGCAGGGTCAGGAGAAGATCAATTCGGTATCAAGAAGTCAACACAGAAACAGGTATCAGATACTTCAGGAAACGTAATAAACCAAACGGCAAGAACCCAAGCCCATAGTGCAGCTTAACTACTAGGGGACCGCCCGCAGTATATATACTGCTACAAGGCGGCCCCTGTGCGCAGGATCACGTATATATAAACATGATTCACGCTCCCGCTATTTTTGCGGCCTGGCCCCCCCCCCGACCCGCGGTGTCACGTTTTGATCCCCGAGGGATCAATCATTCGGTTTCAGCCAGTGATGTCCGGCTGAAGTCAGATGATCAGTCCCTGTCCTATCCTGTCGTATGTTGACAGTTACACAGGACAGGATTTGATGTCATTCTTCTCTGCCTGGGCACATTCCGTCCCAGAGAGAGAAGAAGACACAGTAAACGTGAGTAAAACACTACACATTTACAGTTAGAACACACCTAAGTCACATTTAACCCCCTGATCGCCGCTCCAGTTAACCCCTTCACTGCCCTGTCACCAGTGTCATTATTTACAGTGTACAGATTTTTTACTGATCACTGTATTAGTGTCGCTGGCAACTTCCGATAGCGTTAGCGCCCCTCCCAGATAGCGCCAGTTTGCCCGCTAGTGCACCAGTAATCCCCTTCAACCCCTTGATTCCCCCCCCCCCCCCCCCATTTAACCCCTTCACTGCCCTGTCACCAGTGTCATTATTTACAGTGTACAGATTTTTTTACTAATCACTGTATTAGTGTCGCTTGCGACTTCCGATAGCGTTAGCGGCCCTCCCAGATAGCACCAGTTTGCCCGCTAGTACACCAGTAATCCCATTTAACCCCTTGATCGCCCCCCCATTTAACTCCTTCACTGCCCTGTCACCAGTCTCATTATTTACAGTGTACAGAGTTTTTACTGATCACTGTATTAGTGTCGCTTGCGACTTCCGATAGCATTAGCGCCCCTCCCAGATAGTGCCAGATTGCCCGCTACTACATGAATAATCACATTTAACCCCTTGATTGCCCCCCCATTTAACCCCTTCACTGCCCTGTCACCAGTGTCATTAGTACAGTGTACAGATTTTTTTGCTGATCACTGTATTAGTGTCACTGGCGACTTCAGATAAGGTTAGCTTCAGTTAGCGTCCCTCCCAGATAGTGTCAGATTGCCCGCTAGTACACCAGTACTCACATTTAACCCCTTGATTGCCAGGAACACGCTCACTTGCACACTAAATCTCCATTGCTATTATAGTGTCTGAACGGATCAATATATTTGATCTATATATATATATATATATATATATATAATGCAGCGCTGTAAAATTATCAAATCATGCAAATCAACACAATAATAGTCCTGAAAAGGTGCTCATTAATTCCCAGTGTCAATGGAAAGAATGCAAACTAACCAGAAGTGCATTTGAAGTACGCATGTGTGTAAGAAATCCTGGAGATTCCCCCTCTCTCCCTCTGGTCAGAAAATGGATATGTGCTGAAATGGATGATGATAACGCCCTCTTGTGGAAACGCGAAATCCTGCAGGCCAGGAAGCTCCCAGGATAGGATATTCCTCTTCAATGGAACCAAGGTTGGGATTGAAATCACTCTGTGGCTGTGAAATTGGGAGAGAGACCCCTCACAGAGAACACAGAGAGATACTCATAGTGTAGTATATTACTTCAATTTATTTAACCACTTGCCTACCAGGCACTTATACCCCCTTATTTACCAGGCCAATTTTCAGCTTTCAGCGCTGCCGCACTTTGATTGACAATTGCGCGGTCATGCAACATTGTACCCATATGAAATTTTGATCATTTTGTTCTCACAAATAGAGCTTTCTTTTGGTGGTATTTATTCGCCACTGGGCGCTTTACTTTTTGCGCTATAAATAAAAAAGTGCAAAAAGTTGAAAAAAAAAAAAAAGTTTCTTTGTTTCTATTATAAAATTTTTCAAACAGGCATTTTTTCTCCTTCACTGATGTGCGTTGATGAGGCAGCACTGATGGGCACTGATAGGCGGCACTGATAGGCAGCACTAAAGGGCACTGATAGGCAGTACTAATGAGGTGGCACGGATAGGCGGCACTGATAGACAGCACTAATGAGGTGTAACGGATAGGCGGCACTAATATGCGACACTGATAGGTGACACTGATGATGGGTACTGATAGACGGCACTGACTGGCATCACTGCTGGGCACTGACTGGCGGCACTGACTGGCACAACCCCTGGGCACTGACTGGTGGCACTGACTGGCAGCACTGCTGGGCTGCACTGGTGGGTGGCACTGGTGGGCAGCACTGGTGGGTGGGCACAGGTGGGTGGCACTGGTGGGCACAGGTGGGTGGGCACAGGTGGGTGGCACTGCTGGGCACAGGTAGGTGGCACTTCTGGGCACAGTGTGTGTGACACTGCAGAGTGGCACAGGTGGGTGCACTGCTGGGCACAGGTGGGTGATCTGCTGGGCACAGGTGGGCGGAGCTAGTGGGTGCACTGCTGGGCACAGATGGGCGGAACTTGCGGGTGGCACTGCTGGGCACCGATCATCAGGGCACTGATCATCAGTGCCCTGATGATCGGTGCCGAACCCCGCTCTGACAACTGCCAGTTCTCGGCAGTACTTTCCTCACGATCTGACAGCGTGAGGAAAGTGCAGCCGAGAACCGGCACTTGCATTTCCCTCTGATCAGCGTGTTATTGGACACCGCTGATCACGTGGTAAAAGGCCGCTGTGATTGGCCTTTTACCACATCACGTGATCAGCTGTGTCCGTAGGACACAGCGATCACGGAGATCGCCTGGGGCGCGCAGGAGAGCGCGTTCTGGGAGGACGTCATATGACGTCCACTCAGAACTGGCCGGCCGCAGTGCAGCCGTCATTCGGCTATCTGCGGTCGGCAGGTAGTTAAAAAAACCAAGTAAAAAACATGTAATCAGGTGGCAAGTGAAGGTGACCCACTGACCCTCTTAAAATTAAAGGTGGCCGTCGGGCATTACGGCGGCCATTTGTGGCATACGTTTTGATGCGGATGATACCTGCATTTTTGAAAATACCCTTGTTTATGGCTGTGCATATAAAGTTGCTCAATTCCCCTCTCTTGGGCAACAAAAACAGGGATTATGTCCAGACATATCGTAGATTAATCACGTTTACAGCATTATATGCTGTAGCTTGATATACCCGATTTCGGGTGAGCATTTCAATATACTGCAGGAGATTTGCCATTGCCTGTCATTATAATGTTGATTGCAATTTGCCCCTGGTAAAATGGCGCCGCACATGTGCACTTCACAATCGCAGACATGCGGGCTACGGCAAAATGGCCGCCGTAATGCACATGGGCCAGATACTATATAAATTAAACGGCGCTGCTGTCATGATGGTCCTTGCTCTACCTCAGAAGAAGTGCGTGCGCACGAAACGCGTCAGGAGGAGCCTGTGGACGTCGTTAACACTACGCCGTGTGTGCCATGTGGAGGCCCGGCAGCCACCTTTAATTTTAAGAGGGTCACTTTCACTTGCCACCTGATTACATGTTTTTTACTTGTTTTTTTAAAATAAATTGAAGTAATATACTACACTATGAGTATCTCTCTGTGTTCTCTGTGAGGGGTCTCTCTCCCAATTTCACAGCCACAGAGTGATTTCAATCCCATCCTTGGTTCCATTGAAGAGGAATATCCTATCCTGGGAGCTTCCTGGCCTGCAGGATTTCGCTTTTCCACAAGAGGGCGTTATCATCATCCATTTCAGCACATATCCATTTTCTGACCAGAGGGAGAGAGGGGAATCTCCAGGATTTCTTACACACATGCGTACTTCAAATGCACTTCTGGTTAGTTTGCATTCTTTCCATTGACACTGGGAATTAATGAGCACCTTTTCAGGACTATTATTGTGTTGATTTGCATGATTTGATAATTTTACAGCGCTGCATTTTTATATATATATGTTTTACTGAAGATTTTTATATAAGTTTATCCTGGATGTTCAGCTGCTGTTTCTTTGAGAGAGCTCACTGTGTGTCTTTTACCAATATCTTTGATCTGATCAGCACTATACCAGCGTTCACATTAGTATAGCGCCCCCAAAAATGCAGCGTTAGCGGGATCAGCCCCGATACCTGCCAGCACCTGCATTTAGCCCCTACATTTACCCCCCCCCCCTTCTCCCCCAGCAAGTGCAGTGTCAGTAGATGTCACTGTCACTTGATACATTACACACAAAACCGCGGTGTTCTCAGAATCAGGCCTGATCTCTGTTAGCACTTGTCAGTAAATTTGTTTGTAGCGGCTCAGGCAGTCTCTGACAACCAGGTGCTCTTTTTCCCGTGAGTCGCACTAGGTATCTGTAAATTTAGTGGCCAAATTGTCCAACCAAAGGTACACTAGTGAAGAGGCCTACAGGATTCAGAGCATGTCAGGTGAGAGCGAAGGAGAAGACTCACTGACAGAATCAGCCTCAAAATGCGAACCTGTAGACAGCAGCGGCACCCTGACAGATAGCTCAGATGACAGAGAAGAGGTCCTTGCTAAGGTCAAGCGTACCCGACCCCATTTCCAGGTTGCTGAGATGTTACAAATGCATCATGACGCTCATATGCAGCAGAGTGTCAGTACTAGTGCCGCTCTACCTTTTGGTGAACTGGCGAGCACCAGTAGCCTAGTAAATCCTGGTCTTTTTTATACCAGCACTACAGTATCAATTGGTGACGTGGCGAGTCCCATAAGTGCAGTACGAGCTGGTGTGGTGGCGAGCACAAGTAGTGTCCTGCAGCCACCAAGAATTCGCACACAGGCCCGTAGAGCCCATAGTGTCCTTCCAGAGATGCGATTGGCAGCCCACAGAATCTGCAGCACCTGTACTTCCCCCATTCATTGTCCAACCCGGAATTCAGGTGAAACAGCAAATTTAAATACTCCCCTTGATTTTATGGAGCTGTTTTTCACAGAAGATCTGTATGCATAGATTGTGGATCAAAGCAATTTATATGCAAAACAGTTTATTGCCGCCAACCCAAATTCAAATCTTGCCAGACCATTCGTATGGAAACCCATTACGGTTTCCGATTTTAACTTTTTTTGGGCCTAACCCTAACATGGCATTACTAAAAAAAGTCAATTGCGGTTGTATTGGTCCACAGACCCAATTCATCATATGCCTGTGTTCTCTGCTGCCATGGCCAGGACTAGATATGAGAATAAAATGCATTTTATGCATTTCAGCGACAACACACTCAGTCGTTCTCGGGGTGACCCTGAATATGACAGTCTCCACAAAAATCAGCACCCTAACCAGAAATTTGCAGATGTCTATACTCCCCAGCAAAACATCTGCGTTGATGAGTCCCTGATTCATTTTTCTGGCCGCCTTACATTTAAACAGTTTATCCCCAGCAAGCGTGCCAGATATAGGGTCAAGGTGTATAAGACCTGTGAGAGGGCAACAGGCTACACATATAAGTTTTGGATTTACGAGGGAAAAGATAGTTACGTGGAGCCCCCCGGATGCCCAGACTACATGGGGAGCAGTGGCAAGATAGTTTGGGACTTGGTGTCACCCTTTTTCCATATGGGGTACCACTTATACGTGGACAATTTTTATTCAAGCGTGCCACTATTTAGACATTTGTACAATTGTGGAATTGGAGCATGTGGCACTGTGCGACCTAATCGCCGGGGCTTCCCCCAACGGCTTGTAAATACCTGTCTTAGAAAGGGGGAAAATGTCTGCTTGAGAAATGAGGAATTGCTTGCAGTGAAGTGGAGGGAAGGACAACTGGGATGTTTTCGTCCTGTCTTCCATTCTCGCAAATACGGACATCCAAATTACCAGGGCAGCTGGTGTTGTTGAGAAGCCCCTCTGTGTCCAAGATTTTAACCTTAACATGGGAGGGGTGGACTTCAACGACCAGATGATGAAGCAATACTTTGTTTCCCGAAAAGCCAGACACTGGTACAAAAAAGTGTCTGTTTATTTATTTCATCTGGCTATATATAATGCTTTTGATATTTACAAAGCAACTGGACATAGTGAATCCTAAAATTCCAGGAAGAGATCATCACGGCCCTTTTGTATCCAGAAGGTGCTGTGGCCCAAATCCCCAACCCAGATGCAGTTAGCCGGCTGCATGAGAGGCATTTTCCCAATGCCATTCCTGGTACCCCAACCCAGAGGACCCCCCAAAAAAGATGTTGTGTCTGTAGCAGACATGGAATTAGGCATGACAGCCGCTTTTTTTGTCCCTCCTGTCCTGGCCAACCTGGCCTGCATCCTGCATCAAGGACTGCTTCCATCTCTACCATACACAAGTGCAGTATTAGTATAGGGTACAGCACGGCACAGTTCAGGGTACATAAATACAGAGGGTCTTGAAAGATGATAGGTAGTCAGGAAACTGGCTATCGCATTTGGAGAGTTAAAGTTTAAAAAAAAAAAAGTAAAAAAAAAAATAAAAAGTTCAAATTCCATAAAAAATTAAAAACCAAAGATAGTTGTAGTTTTTTTTTGTTGTTGTCTTTGTTACTGTTCTACTTTTACTGTTTTATTGTTACTGTTTTATTGTTAACCATTGCTGTTTTCTTTGCAGGAATGCTTTCAGCTGCAGCACTGACTTGTTTATTCTGACAGCAACAGGAACTTGCTCTCAGAATATACATAAATCAGTGTGGGCAGCGCTGTTGGATGAGATTTTTCATCCGCAGTTAAAAAAGAGCATATATGCCGAAGTATGGGGGCCTGGGGTGGCAAGTGGGTGGATGGCCCCTATGCTTCGGCATATATATTTTATATTATTTGTTGGCACATTTCATGTGTGCCCACCATTAGAAGAGGGTGGATGAAGGGAGGTTTTCTAATGGTGGGCATACCACCACACACTTTTTTCTAGCAGAGATATTTCAATGAAAGTTGCTTTATTGAGTTACTCTTATTGTTAACCATTGCTGTTTTCTTTGCAGGAATGTCATTCAACTGCAGCGCCGACTTGTTTATTCTGACAGCAACAGGGTCTTGCTCTCAGAATAGACATAAGTAGGTGTGTGCAGTGCTGTCGGATGAGATTTTTCATTCACAGTTAAAAAAGCGCATATATGCCGAAGCACAGGGGCCTGGGGTGGCCAGTGGGTGGATGGCCCCTATGCTTCGGCATATATATTTTATATTTGTTGGCACATTTCATGTGTGCCCACCATTAGAAGTGGGTGGATGCAGGGAGGTATTCTAATGGTGGGCATACCACACCCTTTTTCTGGCAGAGATTTCTTCTCTTTTTTTCATTCAGCCCACAGGCAAAAAAAAGAACATGGCATATACAGTGGGGATCGAAAGTTTGGGCACCCCAGCTAAAAATTTGTATTAATGTGCATAAAGAAGCCAAGGAAAGATGGAAAAATCTCCTAAAGGCATCAAATTACAGATTAGACAGTCTTATAATATGTCAACAAAAGTTAAGATTTTATTTCCATCATTTACACTTTCAAAATAACAGAAAACACAAAAAACTGCGTCTGCAAAAGTTTGGGTACCCTGCAGAGTTAATATCTTGCACTGCCCCCTTTGGCAAGTATCACAGCTTGTAAACGCTTTTTGTAGCCAGCCAAGAGTCTTTCAATTCTTGTTTGAGGTATCTTTGCCCATTCTTCCTTACAAAAGTCTTCCAGTTCTTTGAGATTTC